TCTTGTGCCTGGAAGCTTTCATGCCAGATGACTGAAGGCAGTCGGGTCTGCAGGTATCTGGCGGCGGCTTGCAAGATTCTGGGAAGAAGAAGAAGGAGAAGAAGAAGAAGGAGAAGAAGGATTTCGCTCTGCATCTGCCGCCAAACCGGCACCACAGAAGAAAAGCCGCGCTAGCTGCTGCTGCCAAAGCCGCCGCCGCCACCACGGAGCTGCCAAATGCTGTTGAATCTTTCCTAGGTAACGGAATCTGCCGTAGGAGCCCAGCCGAACCTGCGCTCAATAGTCCTGGGCTAAGGGTGAAGAAGCACATTCCCAAGCTAAATGTTCCCAATGCCCCGGCCCTCCACAGAGAGGGCAAGGTTGCCCCATAAACTGTGTTGCTATCTGCGAGAACCTTGAGCCCTTCCCAATCAACATTGAGGAGTTGAGTAGAAGTCGCATGTTGGACAGCAGCGGCTTCATGTCTCTTGCCGTGAAGAAATTTATCAAAACAGGCAAGTCTCCACCCTGACCGCACTGAAGGCAAAACTTCGCCAACTTCATTAAATGGGTCATTCAAATTAATAACAAAACTGTCTTGCTTCCAACTCCATGGTCCAGTCTCAGTCAAACGATGATCGACATCCATTTTCGCAAGGTGGCGACAGGAGCGCCAGCTTCTTTGCGCCTTCGAAGTGGTCCATCTCGCAAGAATTGCATGACAACTCGGACAAGGTTGCAACCAGCTAAACGGTCCAGAGCCCCATATAGACATCTGAGCCATTTGTGAGCCTGCGACTCATGCCTTGTCCAGCTTTGACCGTGGCCCATAGTCTCATAGTTTGAGCTTGCGTAGGATGTCGCGCCAACCAGTAGCAGCAACAGCTCACGGCAAAGAGTCGAGCATATGAGATCATATGAGGCATACTTGGAGGCATTGGGATTCAGGAGACGGAGAAGCACCAGTCTTCTGTTGGCCAGCACTAATCGCCCACAGCCGGTCTCGCCGTGGTTTGGACGACTCACTGAGACCAGCATTTTGGCTCCAGTCTTGAAAGTGGTTGATTCGTTCAACAAGCCGGGTAGCAGTGGTAGCAATGAATGAGCGGTCGTCAATGTAGATACTCTCCATCAAAATTGGGATGACTAGCTTCGATGTGGTGCTGCGCACAGCTCAGCCACAGGGCAGTCATGAGGGGCCCGCGAGGATCTCTTTGCGGCACTCCCATGCCTGCAGACTTCAAAGGGCTATCAGCCGTGTAGTCATTGAAGGTTCACCACCGAGCATGGTCCATGCCTCAACTGGCAAACTCGCAACCTCATTTCCAGAACAACCATCAGCTTCAGGTACCCGTCTCGCAACGTTAACTTGCCCAAGCCATTGCAGGGGGTTGGGGGCAATCCACTGAGCAGGGCCAGGATCAATGGCACTTTGAAGGAGGTAGGCAGCGATCTGGTCAGTAGAAGGAGAACAACCTTGAACATCACTTTAAAATTCAATCCAAAAGTTTTTGATCTCATTCGCTGCAGCCTTCTTGCTCAGGGGTTCTTCATTTGGACCTGACACCAGTGCTTGTCCAGGATTGTCCCGTGAGCACAGCCATCGCCTAACAAACTTGAGGTCAGTTCTGACTTTAGTTTTCCAATCATTCAAACGTTTCTTTCTTGTGGCTTTCTCCACCGCCCGCAACGCTATCCCTGAGAGTGCCGTGAACAGTTCTCAAGTTGACATCAGCAGCTTGCAAGCGGGGTCAGTCTAAGAGACTGAATAGTTCGATCACGTTGGATGGAATCAATGACCGTCATGTCGCTGTCCTGCCTTTTGAGACACCTTTGCAGTTCATAGAGACGAGCAACTCTTTTTCTCAGTTTGGCAACAGCAAAATTGAAATCACCTGACATGATCGGGTGAAATCTTCTTTCCTGGCGCGTCTTGACCTGAGGAGTAAGGTCAATTCCTTTGATACCTGTCTGTTTCAAGCGAAGTCGACAGACAGTACTTCCTGGTTTCTTCATCCATAGCAGTGGCAGCAAGCCTATTGAAGGCATTCCTGAAAAGAGCGTTCCGGATTTCTGTGAATTGCACCCATTCAGTGTCAACGTCAATTTCAGCCGCCAGATTTTGTAAGAGCAGGTACGCTCTCCTGTGGGACATCAACAGAGCTGTCAGAGACGCAACCAGCCCAAACATCGCGATCGAGAGCAGGTGGTTTTTCCAACTCGGGCCAAAAGCAAGATATTGCAAGGCGAGGTCTTGGTCACAGATTGGAATGGTACAACTGAGAAGAATGTGATCCGCAAAGTGTTGCACTTCCTTAATTGGACTTGGTACTGATTGGACAACGGGTAGGACAACCGATGCCCAGCCAAGGGATTGCAAGCTTTCCAAAATGATACTTCACTGGAGGTCTCATTAGCATCGCCAGCAAAAGCCACTTGATATTCTGGGGTTCTCCCATTTCCACAACAATCTCTTGAACCAGTCTTCCCACATCAGCTCGCGGGGAGCCAGCTTCTTGGTCATCCCTAGGTGGGGCATAAAAGCTGGCCAGAAGCCAATCTTCAACTTTGACAGCCAAAACCTGGCAAAATTCAGAAGCCTTAGAGCAAACGCTTGTGGTCTGAAATCTCTTGCCAGCCATGACCAGCACACCTCCGCTGGCCCTGGGTTGGCCCCAACGATACAAGTAGGTATTTCCTGGGGTGTAAAAACAACTCTCAGCATTTGTGTGCCCCTTTTAACCCAGGCACCATTACCTGAACGAATATTGCAGCTAGTGACCAAAACTTCGGTTGGTTGGGAGCCTGGGTGGCTCGCTTCGCCGACTCTTTCTCCCCTATATGTCCTCCTTCGCGAGCAGCATCAATGATTCTTCGAGGGTTCCCCGTGGCTTTCCACTTATCGACCGAGAATCCAAGGCATTTTCTGACATATTCAATTTTCCTTCAGTAAGGGTCAACAAGTTGCTGCAGCTGAGGTCAGCAAATTGTGCTTTCCGATAGGGTTTGAACCAAGAGGGTTGAGTGAGGCAAGGGAGACAAGTCTTGCACATGCAGCATAAGCGAGTGATAGGGAGAGCACAAGGGAACCAGAGGGGAACAACCTCTTGCTTGGTGTTGTCATTGAATTCTTTAACCACTGAGTTGATGCGTTCGGTGATACCCTTGAAGTCCATTTTTCCACAGGTACGAGGGGGTCTGTTACAATGTGACAAACTTGGAAGTGTCTGGCATGAGGCAGCCCGGCGCAGATTCGGCAAGTCCAGATACGCTGCTCAAGTGGAATTTCCTTCGAAGCAGTGACAACGTCCGTCATCGGACCAATCCCGACTGAGTCATGAATCTGTCGTCGTTCCTCCTTAGGGCGTCGAGTGATCAAGTGATTGGCCTTGGCAACCACAAGTCTCTTCCTGGCCTTAGGCCCCACTTGCGGTCCTTCTTTTTCAAGCTTGGAAAGTCTGGGTGAACAACATCCTTGGCGGGTTCCCCAAAAATTTGCTTTTCTGTTTCAATTTTCCGGAATCTAGAAGTGTGAATGTGCGCCGACGGCATACCCGAACTGGGTCTTTTGGGTCAGGAACCCTCTTTGGCCCCGCCTGCAAAGCCAACATTCACTGCGGAGCCAATTTTCCGTAACCAAGGGGTAGGGACCGAGGAACCTTGGGGGGGGGCGCAGTGAGAGGTAATGACGGTCTTTGAGCAGGACAACAAGTGGCTTACCCTCACGGCTACAACATGCAATTCCATTGTCAGAAAACCTGGAAGCGAAGCAGTGTCTTTCCCAGACTTTGTGCTCATGGGAAAACTTCCAAACGGGTGTGGGAGCCCCAAGTTTCTCACAAATTGCCTGCAGCTGCCAGCCATCAACAAAGGTGGCGTGTTTTTGCACGGTTTTTGACCATGATTCCCATGCTTTCTTTTCAGAAATTTTCTGGCTGGCGAAAACTGCCTGATTTTTTTGACGGCTTCTGCAAGTACAGGGAACACTGAGAGCGCAACCAAGCTCCCTCCCTCATTGCCTCGTCTGCCGAAAGCCCGACGTTCCTTTTTTGCCAAGCATCATTATCGGCAAAACTTCTAAAGCAACTATCTCCATTCCCTCCATGCCGCCCCTGAGTCCATTGGAATGCAGTTGAGATTTTGCTGTGCAAGGGAAGTGCAAATTCTCTTGGGTGTCCATCAAAGTAGCTTGAGCTTCCGTAGCTTTTTCCTTTTTGCCTTTGTCTTCAGGGAACTACTACGGTCTCTGGGGGGCGCAAGTTTCCAAAAATGCGGTCTCCATCCTGTCACGAGCTTGTTCAGTAGGTTCAAGGTTAGTTTCACGAAGAACCTTTTTTCTGGGACCCGGAACCCAAGCACCTTCAAGTTTTTTATTTTTGAAGGAGGCAAGCAGAACATTGAGAATCCAAGTCGGTTGGTCCTCCATTTCATCACCAAGAAGCTGGAACCTTTGGCCCCTTGGTGGGGTTCTACGAATCCTCCAACTGAAGGATCCAGCCGCATTTTCCTCGAAGGAGGCATGCCACACAGGAAGGACCCAAATCCACGGAAGACTGAAGGCCAATCTACCTAGGATACCGACAATGGACAAGACGTGAAAATCCAAGAGGACAAGAAGAGGAGCCAACTGACAGACTCAAGAAAGATGGCTGCGGGAACGAAGGCAGGGAGTAGGCATCAGGCCTAAGTCCATGCCAAAGCTCGGTCAAGCTAACGTGCCACAAGTCCAAATCCAAGAGAATTCCAAAACCCAAAGCTTGACCAACAGCAAAAATCCAAATCTCCGATTTTTGTGGCGCAGGAAACTTCATAGGGGTACCTTCAGGGGAACACCAAAAAAAATTGTCCTGCCCTGGTTCTCCGACAACACTTGCACCATCATCTCCATAGAGGGGGAACAGAAGCACTGCTATAGCACCCAATTGCCCAGCTGAGCGAGAGAGCTGCACAGTATGAAGGGCTTGAAGTTGCAGGGTCATCTGCTATATTGGGCCTGGTTGGTGCAAAAAGCTATCCCATGCAGAGCGCTCTTTCGACATCGTGACCACGCTCTCATGACCACAAGCTGGGACCTCCTCCTCCTCCTCCTCCTGCGTATTAAGCCTCTTCAAAGCCTTCCAAAAAATAAGGGCAAAATGCCGTGCAAGGTCACGGGATGTCATGGGTATAGACAGCAGACTGCCCCTGGATCTTCACATGTTCATGCCCACGGGCACTTGACCTCTAAAGCATCAGAGTCAAGTAAGTAGGAAATGTGCACGGACTCTTTCTTGTAAGGAGGCCTGAGCTGGCAGGAGGCAACAACTGACTCCCTGAACCCCAAGCGCTTCAGCGCAGCCCAAGCATCTAGCCAAGCCATCTTTGATCTGAGTGGCTGTTCCTTTCTGCGAGGTTTCCCATGTTTTCGCCCCTGCCTCAACACCGATCTGGTCTTGAGCAGCCAGTCAAGCCCGAACCTGCGTAGGTGATGTGTGATGTTGGCTAGGCAATCGATGACCAAAACCTCGACATTTGTGCCTGGACTGTGCCATGCCTGAGTCGATAATGATTGAAGGGACCACGCACCGCATCGAAGGGCCTAAACATTGTTGATGCGCCTCCTGAATCCACCACCGTATCCGGAAGAAAAGTTGCTGGTAGGGCTAGCAGACCTCCCTCTGCACGCCTCATAACTACCAGCACGCTTCCTGTCTGCCATGAGAGCACGTAGGGCACCAGTAAGAGAAACCAAATCTAACATGCCACCCATCACGTCCATATGCGTGTCAACAGGTCGCAATTGGTGACGCCAGCACCAGCAAAGCAAACCTTGGCTTCCTGTTCAGCGGGAAGGAATGTGAAATGGAGTTTGATTGAGATAGCTCCCAACACACAGCCAGCATACGATCGGCAGACTTGTAGATGGTGGGCTTCTGGATCCTGTCAGCTCGGAGCACAATGCGCAATCCCGAGCGCAATCCCAGCTGAGGCGTGGTCGCACGCACACTAGCCACTGCTGATGCCCACTGGCCAGCAAGCCGAGCACGACACACGCGATAAGCACCTGAAAGAGACGCAACAAACAGCTTGCTGCCCCCAGCCACCAGGTAGTGTGGACACTCGTCAAAGGAGTTCTGGATCTCAACTCTTGGTTCGAGGAAGCTCAGACACCACTGAAAAAAATTCCTCAGAAGACACAAGCGAATGGCTTTCTCAAGGGCGCCCCGGATCGTGATATGCAAGTCGCCCAATCAGCAAGAGAGCTTGACGCCGTCGCTGCCGTGGGTCTCCTCGCTCATTGAAGTACTCGGTGAGGCCCGGGTACCTGGATCGTGTGACAGATGAACCTGAGGAAGCAGGGGCAGGCTAAGCCTCGGCGAGAGAGAGAATCCAAAGTGAGTAAAGTCAGGACAATACCTGTGTCCAGGACGGCATCAAAAACTCCACTTCTATGCTTGAAATCAAATATGTGTACAGAAGTATACATGCCAATGGTGTAGATATATCTAGAATCTATACCTTTGCGTGTATATAATATATATATATACATATACGTGTGTGTGTGTTACCTCCGTGTTACCTCCATAGGCTGATACGTGGAGAAGACTCAACACATGTCTTCCAAAGCTTGGCGGGTCCCACGACAAGTAGCCAGGGAAGATCAGCAACTTGGCATAGTATGAGTGCTGGAAGAGATAGCCTGACATGTTTTGATGATGTGGATCCATGATGATCATCTGATTATCCATGTGGATCTGAGGATATTTATGGCGAGATCTATGATGGCCAACAGTCACAGCAACATGGCGGGTGAGCTCCAAGTCCGTACCCAAACATCATCGTGGTATTGAACCTCGACATCAAGCATTGCAAGCACGGCAAGCATGGCGCGCATATGGCATATCTGAATCAAAAAGTCCGTTTGGGGTTCATCTGAGACTGGGAGTCCCAGCTGGTGTGTCAACATAGCCAAAGGCAGCACTGGATCCCTTGCAGATCCCAAGTCGTGAACAATTTTCAAGATTGATTGCCAAATACGGACAGCTGGTTTGAAAGATACTCGCCCGCACACCCAATTCCGGCGCCTTTGTTACTGCAAAGCGCGCTGCTGCAAGCAAAACAAAAGAGCTTAAGGCCAGTAAAGCGACTGGAACTGCACCTGCGGTGTGCTTGACACCATGTCAAAGTTTCGGAAGCTGCCAGGAGCAAGCTAATTGGTGTACATTCAATGGATAGAAATTGGACTTTTGCAGTGGCAGCCTCTGACTGTTGCTACTAACTGCTATTGCCTGGACATTCTTCATTTTCTGGGACGAGTTTCAAATGTTTCAGAAACCTTCGAAGATTCTGGAGGTCACTAGAGTCCCATCCAGTCTTTACCTGGTCACCCCCGTGATCAAAACTTGGGCACCTGTTGCAAGGCACCGACTTCCGGGCTTGCAACCTCTGATTGCAGGTCAGATCTGGAAAGATCTATTTTCACATATTTTCACATCGTTCCCGCCACAATTGCATGGTCGTTGACAGCCCTCCAACTTCTGCCTGAAGTTCTGGAATAATATAGGGAATATCTCGGAATGCATAAATGTTGTACCGTTAACATGAACCCTATCGACCGTTACCCCATGCTGCACGTTCCCAAGTGTTGGAGAGAGTTCTGGGATGCAAACTGACCAGCTCCAAACCGGCTGTGAAAACGAGTAGCCTGGGATAGCGCTTTAACTTTACAGCAAGACGCAAGAGATTCGAGGCCACGACAGTGCAAAGGAAAGGTGCTCAGATGTCCAGGTTCCTCACGTAAGGCCCATTTCCTGCCACCAGGAATCCATGTACCAAAAGAACAGACGTGCAGAAACGTCCCGGTAGCAGCTGGTAGCTGTGCAACATCAAGACAGGTCAGAGAGGTCTCCTTGCAAAGGCATGCACCAACAGCCAAAATGCTGCAAAGAATCACCTCAGCAGAATGGAGCTGCCCTTCCTCAGCACTTTTTTTCAGCCAAGGCCAGCACTAAGAGCAAACCCGCGAGCTTTGGAAATTGGCCTTTGGCCTCCACAAAGGCTGGGAATGTAGAAAGTGTTGTACAGTTTTTGCATTGACAGCACATGTCTTGCTGAAAAACAAATGTCGCAACATGCCGCAACCCCATTCTTGGAGAGTCTTCTTGTAGCCTTTGGGTCAGTTCACACCTTGTCCAGTCTCCATCGTTTGAAACCAAAGTGGTTTGATGCCACTCCTGCCAAGTGCTTCGCACTTCCAGCTGCACCAAAGCTGCCAAAAGCCAACCAGTAGTGGCCAGTACGTCTGCACCTTCCATATTGGCAAGACATGGCAAGATGCAGGAAAGTCATCCAAATCAACAGTCTCCATTGCTTGACACGAAGGATCGAAAGCAGCTCGTCGCAATCACTTAGTCACTGACGCCCCACCAGGTAGACGATGTTCTCCACCTCGTCTCATCACTGAGGACTGAAGTGGGTGGTTCACGTGCCAATGTCCTACCAAAAATACGTTGGGGCCCCGTTGGGGCACCCGGCATGCACCGGGTGTGCTGCAAAGAGCGCGGCACTCAGCGACGCCCATTTTTGCAAGCCCAGGCGGCGAAGCAACAACCTTGAAATGTATAGGAGATGATGGGAGATGGGAGATGGTGATTTCTAGCTTTCTTTACGGTGTGACTTCAGGGTACAAGGTGTCAAACCTTGAATTCGACAGAGGCACAAGACCAGTAGTGAATTTGCTGCATGCAACGCAGCATTGAAGGTCCGCAAGGGCTGAGGTCTGAAAAGGTCCTGCTTCAAAGATGGCTTCTAACGTTGCTTTGAAGGTCCGCTTCTGTCAAAGCTAACAGAAAGAGAGGGGGAAAAAACACTCAGACTGGGCTGGGAAAGGATGGAAAGGATGGAGAACGTCCATCCCAACATATCCCAACCTTGGAGCCTTGGGTGTGCAGAGATCCGTGTCCTCTCCCAGAAATCGAAATTGCCATGCGAAGCTCAGGACCGCTAAGGGTCGGTAAGACTTGTGGGTCCAGCTTTGCCCCCACAAAGGGTTCCCCCAGAAGTCGTTGCTGAAGACCTCACAGACTACATCCATGTGATCTGACACAGCAAACCCCTGTAAAATCCTATGTTTTCAACCAAATCAACAAAGTTCCTAGCAGATTGGCAGTATTCTTGCCACAGAGTTAGCACAAAGGATCTCATGGTGTGCACAGTGACAGCCAAGACTTATATCATGCGGGTGCGCCTGGGAAAGGCTCGTCTCTCCTCGTGCATCTTCATTTCGAAGTACGGCGAAGAGCTCATCGATGTACCTCGAGAAGGTGCGATGGAAAATCGGAGAATCGGAAATGTGATGGAAAACGGTGTGAAAAAATGCTGACGAACAGGACATGTCAAGACTTCCCAAAAGCATGTCAGGATGCCGGGTTCGCCTCACAATGAAACCTTGCGACTGAAATCCAATTCAGCTAGGAAGCCACTCGCTGTAGGTCACACACGGAGCATAGAGTAAACCTATGCAGAGCGCTTTCATCAGGATTTGTCTGCGCCGTTTTCTTGGTGAAATAAGTTTAGAATGAGTGTGCGATACATAAGTTGAGATCCACACATGTTGGATACAGTATGAATATATGTAGATATTCGATTCAAAAGCAAGAAAACTAAAGGATCAACAAAACCAGAGTGAGACTTGTGAATCTTGTGAAACCTATGACTCATGACGCTTCCATGGTACAAACATCAGATTCTATTTGCGGTAGCATAACGGCTCAGGTGCAGAAGCAAGCATTCAACGGACGATGACGGAGAATTGATTGAAGGGGTTGTCTCAACTTAGCAACCTCCGACCTCAAGCATTCTTTCACCGAAGCTCAAACATCAATGGGACAGTGCACTTTCAAACGCACTTTCTGAGGCAGAGTAAAGATCCTGTGTTTGCGAGTAGCATCCAAGCAACAACAAAGGACTGGCAGCAGCGGCATCAGCAACACGCCCTTGGGTTTGGGCTTCACATGGCCATTGGCCTCAACGTTGCTGTCACACACTATCACTCACCATGTTCATAAATTGTTCCAAATAGGCTTTGTGAAATACAGAACTTCACAATTCTACAATGAAGCATTCAAGCAAGCAACCAAGCAAGAAAGCAGCAGTTTGATGAGGTCAGGAGGGTTTTACGACTCCAAAAGAGCACAGAGGATTTCAGCATTCTTGAAACAGGATGGAAGTGAAAACGTAAAGCAACATGGACTGACACACACACAGTTTTTGGCCGACTTGGAACCAACGACGCTTTTCGTGCCTGCAGTTTAGGGCCAGCCGCATCCATCAGACCAGAGATGCACGGATCCGATATGTGTGCCCCATGCAGGCCCCCAAATTCTGGGGCCGAGTTTCCTCTTCAATCTGTATACGCTATACGTCAATTGAAGAAATCAGGTCTTTCCAGACAAACAAACAGCAAGAACAGCTGACTAGGCTGATCCCAGACTTGGGTGCGCAGGGCGGAAAGGCTTCTGAAGTCAGGCAAAGTTTAAAGTTCGCAGATCGGCCTTGTTCAGCAGTTTGTTCTATCCACTTTCAAACCATGGCATATTTGGTCTTCTTTAGCTTGATGCAAATTGGCTACAGTCAGTGCCTGATCCATCAAAACTCAATGTTAGCTCACTGTTCCCATCAACCGCCTCAACCGCGTAGCAAGGTCATACACAGACTTGTTGTCAGGGCGCTATAGAAATCAGAAAGCTGCTTTGAGCTCTAGACTTCACAGAGTATTAAGGAGCCCAGGAGCCCATTTGGGCTCTTCATCAAGAAATGATGAGAGGAAAATGCTGCTTTTGTCAACATTGCTGTCTCATTTTTCATGGGAGCTTTGATCAGGCTGTTCTCAGGTTTGGGATTGGCAATACTTTGTACACTGAGCTTAGGCCCTGCAGCAAGACTCCAAGAGCTCTGATCATGGCTGTTTGAAAAACCTTGGCGCAAGGTGAAGGTGTGCTGTTAAAAAAGCGCAAGTCTGCACGATCAAGAGGACAAGGCTGAAAAAGCCTAACCGACCCCAACAAACTGCGGGGTTTTTACCAGGGCCCGGCTCCAGGAGCCTAGGAAAAAAAGCCAAGCAACCGTTGCTCCAGGTGGTGGAGTGTCAAGCATGTCCAGCCCTTGGCTCAGGGTTTGTCATAAACAATTTAAGATTGTTTTCATGCCTTGACCCTGGTTCTAAAACTAAGGATAGCTAAGGAAAAGACAAGCCTGCAAGAGTTGATCTTGAAAACTCAAAAAGCAACTTGAAATACTCAGCATGTTGAAAGATGGAGCAGGATGTGCTTACCCCAAAGTGAAAATAGCTTCGCTCTCAAGTGTTCAAGTTGGTGCAGCCAAGCCGCGCATCACCACTACCTCAGATCACCAACTTTAACAAACTCGTGGTGTTGTGATTTTTTCAGCTCTTGACCTGGCCACTCGTTCATCCTGTATGCAATGTGCAATTATTCAATCATGTTTCAATCACCACTCACTCAATCAATCCATCTCGTTTCAAGCTTGATGAGCTTCAAAGCGTTGTTTGCAGCGAAGCCACCACTCGACACCGGTTGTATGAGCTGTTCGCTAGACCGCGATGCATCAAGCGAGCCTAGAGATATCTTTCATGTTCATATGATGTTCCATACGTTGCACGAGGGACAAAGTGTATTTCGCATACAGGATGGAAAAGCTTCATCGACAAGCCTTGACCAACATCCCACTGCTCTCCTTTCACTTCAACTTTCAAAAGCTCAAGACCAAGCGACATCGTAGATCAGTGCCTGCAAACAGGGCACTTTGGCGGAAAAATTGCATGACCATTGCTGCGAAAAGAAATGCCTTCCATCTCCAATGGAGTTCTTGCATTTTTGGGGAGTCAAGACTTGCGTACATCCCTTCAAGGAGAGATAATGAGGACTTTTTGTTAAAACAAGTTTGACAAAGCACGCAATGTTCAAACCGGCCCCCAGGGTTGATGTTGCTTAGATATGTACTATGTTGAACTATGTTGAACTATGTTGAACTATGTTGAACTATGTTGAACTATGTTGAACTATGTTGAACTATGTTGAACTATGTTGAACTATGTTGAACTATGTTGAACTATGTTGAACTGAACTATGTTGAACTATGCTATGTTGAACTATGCTGAACTATGCTGAACTATGCTGAACTATGTTGAACTATGTTGAACTATGTTGAACTATGTTGAACTATGTTGAACTATGTTGAACTATGTTGAACTATGTTGAACTATGTTGAACTATGTTGAACTATGTTGAACTATGTTGAACTATGTTGAACTATGTTGAACTATGTTGAAGTGTTTGCCGCAACTTGGCACCATTGATTTCCTTCTTCCCGATTCCACCTGGCCTGGCCAGGTCGAAGTGGTGTTGGGGCCACACTTCCACCTGCAGCCGCAAGGGCCTTGAGACCCTTCATGGTGGCGCCAAGGTTGAAGCCTCGTAGCAAAAGGAGATGCGGATATAGGGAAGCTGTACAGCAAGATCCAGAAATGGCTAGGGAGAACTGCTTTTGAAGCTAGGCAAAGCCTTGAAGAAACTGCATACTTTCAGCTCCACTCCAGAGACCAACTTGAGGAGGTCTTGAATTGAAAATGATTGGCATCAAGAGCATTGTGGTGAAGTCCAGGAGAAACACACAAAACTACAACATGTTTTACCAAATTGATTTGCGTCACAAAGGCGATGTAAAAATGCACAGATCTGAATTCCCGTCCAAGCAACCTGCGAAGAGATGCGAGCCTCATACTCAGTCCACAGGGGTTCATGGAGAGTCAGTGAAAATTCATGCGACTTGTTGCTCTAAGCAAGTCAAGCAATGACAACAAATAGCTGTTTTGAGCAAGCCAGGAAGGCAGCTATTTGTATACTTGTAAAGGGCACTGCATACCTTGTTTCTGACGCCTGGTGCTGGCGCCTGGAAGCAAGTTTGTGGGACCCAACTCATCATCCACCTCTGTCAAGGGCAAAATGACGGTAAGTCCTGGCTTCAAGTTGTCCTGAGGGTCAAAGTGGGCAGAAGCTCAAGTTATTCAAGTTATATATATCTCCCTTTTGCCTGCTTTCGCGAACTTTCCCGTGCTGAGCTCCAAAGCCTGTTTTAGGCCTTTCTCAAAACTGGATCAACCATGGATATCATCTGAAAGTGGCCACCTTGACAGTCTGACTGTTGAAAGGAAAAAGCGCAGCATCCAGAATCCAGGGCGGGCGGTTGTGGGCCCAGAAAGCTCTAGACACCACATCACTCAATTCGACATGCTGGAGATAGCGACCATCTCCCTTTTGCCTGCTTTCGCGAACTTTCCCGTGCTGAGCTCCAAAGCCTGTTTTAGGCCTTTCTCAAAACTGGATCAACCATGGATATCATCTGAAAGTGGCCACCTTGACAGTCTGACTGTTGAAAGGAAAAAGCGCAGCATCCAGAATCCACCTTTTCAGTTCTACCCTGTAAGGAAAATAGAGCGCAGCACGGGCCAGGAAAACTTCGAAAGTTCAGTAATGGTTTTCTTTGACAAAGGATCAAGGCTATGGACAAGCAACTGAGCACCAACCTCTTGCAAATAATATTCCAGAGTTCGGACTCTGGACCAGCGTCCCCTCCAAGCCACCCAATTAATGTCTTCAGAACAACTGTATAAAAATGTCGCTCCGGAACCCCGGAGTACTCCGGGCGTAGCGCCCTTGTCGGCCTGTCGATGGGAGATGCCAAGACGCGACATCACAGCGTTCCATTGTTTCCTAAAAGAGCTTGCTGAAAGAGGATACAAACGTTCTTGCAAAGGAAGGTGACCAAAAATCTTTTCCACCAGCCAGATGATATCAGGATCATCAACCCTGCCATGCTGCCGTCTAGCAAACCTAGCTGTTTTTGGGTTTGCCACATGGATAAACATGCCTGTAGAATCTTCAGCCAAATCACGCGGAAACACCAGATCACGTCTGGTTAGTGCTAACATCTCTGAGGGATGCAACATAGCTGCAAAGCCTAGTGCAACGATGCCAAGCCAATTGTACCAACCCCATAGTCCAGCCAAACACAACGCTGCTCGAATCACTAAAGCAGGTAGGACAGAACGACACTGTCCAGGTTCATGAATCTGCCACTTTTTGTCGATCTGCCAGGCGAGACCCAAGTGGGCTCGCAGACTTGGATAAAACTCCTGCATCCCAGTCAGTGTATAAACAAAAAAGTAACGCGGCAGACCAGATTCGAAGCAGTATAGGCCATACGCTCGGAGCGCCCAAGCCAGTGCCTGGCTATCATGAACCAACTTCTGGAATTGAATCTTAAGCTCTTCATCGCACCAGCGGTTAAAAGCGTCAACACACTTCCTCATCCGGCTGGATGTCTGTTCCACGAATCCAACACTAAGATCCATGGGTCCACGAGGCATCTTTGGTCCAGGGTGTGGGTGAATGTCCCCACACAGCAAAAGCAGAAAACGAATCCATCTGGCAGGATTTTTGCTCACCCTGCTCGCCATCACAACTTTGTCAAATTTTTCTGAACTCCCGTTAATCAAATCCTGCAACCATTGGGGCACATCACGGCTTGGAGGCTCGATAGGTCGGCCGCGTGATGGGCCATCACTTCTGTTGTCAGCGGAACTGCAATGCAAACAACCAGGATACAGATTCGACCCCAAAATGTAGGCCAAGCACCCTTGCAGAACTCGGCTGATTGCGTAGCTGCTGGAACGACCCTTGGCTGTGGCGCCGATGGTCACTCGGCTGTCCAGCAGTCCCACAAACCTACTATTGGGGTGACTCTTAGCCATAGCTTTAATCCATGATTTATAGACACGAGACTCGTTGACATTTATATGACCGCTTCTATGGAAAGTGTATCTAAACAGCTCCCGGAATTTCAAACTGTTGCAAATTTCACTAATCCACTCGGGCCCCTCATGCCAGGGCCTTTCGGGATATAGATCACCAGGCAAAAAGTCATGCTTGACAGTGGGTTCAGTTTCATCAATTTCTTTGAGTGAGCGAAGCCAAGCAGCTCTCGGCATAGACTGGCGACGCCCACGAACTGCAGACATCATTCCGCTGGCCATTTGGGTGACCAGCTTATAGGGATATGCTGCAGAGAAACTTGCGACTGATTCCCCTGCCTGCGGCATGCGACCGTAAACTGCGACCGCTGATGGTCGACAGCGTCGATCAAACTCTTGAATAGTGTCATGAGTGAAAGAACCCTCGATCACGAAGTGATTGTTTTTGTATGGACAATCGCATCTCGTCTCAAGGGGGATCAACCAAGGCAGGTTATGAAGCCATTTAGAATGCTTATTGAATGCACTACCATAGCTGCAAAAGCAAAAGTGGCTAATCACACAACCCATGAGAACCAGTTGACGAAAACAATGAAGTAAGAACAGTCGTGAGTTACCAGGTTGTTCAACACTTATATACTGACCTAACGACATGGCAATAGTGAGGACAAAGGCAGTTCTACGAGCTAGCCGATTGTGATATGCAGTCACTGGCTCGTTTGGATCGAACCCTGCAGGCGCCTTCTTGGAGCGGAGCTGAGGTCTCCGCAAGGTGCCATAAGTCAAGCAGGGAACCCCTGCATGCCACGCACGAACGACGCGCCGCCAGGCAAGAGCAATCAGCTCATGGCAAGTGCTAGGCTGATCCAAGTCACTGATTCGAATCCTACGGCTGTCAATGTCGAAACCGTCATGAACTTTGAAACCTAAGGCAGCATGGGCTTCAGACCAACCTCCACTACCTTTGAAAATCTCAACACAGTCATATAGAATACCCTCGCTTAGGGGCGCAGGCACTCCTAAAGGGGGAAAAGGACTACTGGCAGAAATTTCAGGGGAATTATAGGGTTGGTCTAAATCGATAGAGGTCTGAAATCCTTTATCATGCAAAATTTCGGCGGCCGGATTCAACAATCTGGTGTAAAACCCTCGCTGCTCTGAGTGGCGCCATAACTCCTGCGTCATGTTAGTGCTGATGGGTGCATAAATGACTGAACCTCCAACTGGTGATGCATCTGTGCTGAAAATGCGGTCCACATACTTGGATCTAAGGTCGCTCTGGGCCAAACATCCCACCGATGCCAAAAGTTGCAACTCTGACCGACTTTCCCTAGATAGGCAAAAGGGCTCATGTGCAGGTCGCCCCTGCCCCTGCACCTCCCGAAAAATGTGGTTCATGATTGAAAACATGGCACGGCGGAAGAGCAAAACGTGAATCCAGCATCCAGTTAGAATGGACAACATCTTGGAAGTGCAGGTGCCGACACGGGCAACTGCGAAAGTGATTAGACAAAGGACGGCAACTCTATTTCTAGGGGCCATGACGTGGCCGGCTTTGCCATCAAAATCAGCACCAAGCAACACCCCTGAGGTTTCATTTCTTTTACGTTTCTTTTCATGCTGAACAAGACCAACCTTTTTATACGCAACTTCGGATGCAGTAAACACCTCTGTATCCCGTAGCTTAGGTTTCTTGGGGAAATCTCTTATGGGGACTTTTTGCAACCCAATATGGTCGTCAATCGCTAACAACTCCACAAAGTCACTTCTGGGAACCGGATGACGATACCTGAGGGTTTCTTCTGGGACCATACCGCCGCACAGGGAACGCAAGACATTACAATGAGCTTGTTGTGCAACTTCGACTGCCAAATTATCACCCATGGCCAAAGTTTTTAAACAAAGCAGAACTTCGTGATTGGCCAGTTCGGGACGGTAGCAACGAAAATGGGAAAGCTGCTTACCCTGAAACACAAACTTAAATGCATTACGGGCGGCCCGTTTTTGAGACACAATGAATGTGTAATAGAAGTCAGTTAGGTCATCGGCATTAAACCTAAAATATTCATCGGGCTCTAGATGCAACAACCCAAGAAGGCAACCCGGGGCGAGATCTTTGGTGGATCTAGCGATGTTGTACATGCGGCTATTGATTGTGCGGGGATTGATGATGAGACGATCATGTTTGCTATCTTTGGGGACACAAAAGATTCCAGCAGTTTCACTCATGTCTTTTGAGGATTTAGGAATAATACAACAGGCCCCCAACTCATCCCAACGCAAAGCAAGTTTGAGGAACTCTTCCCTAGAACAATGCATCTTGCCCGGTGGTACTCGCTCCCACAGAGCTTCAGGTTTACGAAGGGTTTCTGGATCGTCAAATGCGGCTTTCAGCAAAGGGTCATCAAGAAAATCCCTGGCGGCAAAACTTGGCGGATTTTCCCATTTGATTCTTGAAGCGGTGACTGGCAAGGCTGCGACTTGTGATTCTGTAACCGCAGTGCTGCCAGCCGTGCAAAAGTGAGTGGCAGGATCTGGAAACTGGGCTTTCACGGCGGACTCTCTAGCAAAATGCTGTGAGTATGGATCCAGGCTTGCATGCAAATTGACTAAAAACTCAGTGAGGTCCTCTAACCCAAAACTACATTTAGGAAGTTCCTCGATGGACTTAATTATCATCTCGAACTTAGACTGAGCACGTCCCAGATCATCTGCAACCCAAGGCTCCATGTGCAAGAAATGATCAATCTGTACTTCCAATCGCTCCAGCACTTCGGCTTGGGCATCAGTCAAGGGTGCTCTGACGCGGGCACAAGGTGGCGGAGTCACAGGGAACCCCAAAACCTCAAAGTTTAAAGAACATATGATCATCACTAAGAGATCATGTTTGGCTCTATGATACTTCAGCCGTCGGCGTCTGCGAGGCCCGAGATGTGTGCTTTCCATCCAACTCCACCTAGGGGGGGGAATGGGCCATAAAGAACCGGAACCGGTCTTTTCTGCGGTGCAGGCTTCACCAGCAGCCAGCGAGGCTGCAGCAAAAGCTGTCAGAGCTGAACGACAAAACCAAAAACTTCTGCTCATGCTGTGCACTAATCTAATTGGACAAAAAACTTTAGCTGACATGGGATTAAGATCAGGGAGATCGGAGGAATGAGACTCATGTTTAAACCATTTTAAACCTTTCCCAAGGCAAGGAATTACCTACGGATTTATTGTTATAAACTTTATGACTCCCTTTCCCGCCTGGCTCAACAGTCAGCTCTCGGCTTCGGCTTCCTGGGCAGCTTCTGCTCGTTTTCCTTTGCCAGCTCCCTTCTTCGGCTTGGCTTTGCTCTTGGGCTTCGGCTCGGCGTCGCGGTCGACTCTTTCGACTGGGCCCAGCTTGGTCAAGGACTGTTTTCGAGTGTCCAAATAGTCCAGCTCTTTTAGATAGGCTAAATTGGCCGTCACCCAGCTGGGTGCGGCCAACCGGCTGAACGGTTGTAGTCCTGGGTGCCGTCGATGGCTGACCAGGATCTGCCAAGCCGGTTCTTGATGGCCTGTCAAGAGCCACGCCAGTTGTAATTTGCCAGCATCGATTGACGCCTGTTCCAGAAAGATAAGAATCTTCCCCAGGACCCCCATCAGTTCGATGTTTTGAGAGGCAAATGCAACGTCCCACCCTTCGGCACAAAGGGTTGCAACATAAGCCAGCGTCTTGTGGTCGCTCAGGGGCATTCTCCTTTCCATATACTTTCTCATCAGGTTGCCGTCCTCGCGGGCAGCAGGCAGACCCAACTCGGTCAGTGCATTGCGCCTGACCGTCTGGGCAATCAAGGACAGGTCGAGCGACGCCTTGATGAAGGCCTCCCGGGCCAAGCAACCCTTGACTCCGGAGCCACCGGCGTTTCCGCTGACCGGGTCGCTGCTGCCGCTGAGCAACCCCACAATGGGATCGGCATGACGGGGACCCACCAACTTCTTCAGCAGTAATGCATTCTGTTGCAGCTGAGCCAAAAGAATCTGAGACATAGGGTCGGCAGTGCCGTCCATCTGATCGATCCCCAGCTCTGCAATCTGAGTTTCCTCGGCCTCCTTCTCCATCTCGGCTAGCAGATGGTCTTGCTGATCCACTGCAGAGCTCACTTGGCCTCGACGAGTTTCTGCGGAAGCTACTCGAGGCGGAGGCGCCCCTGCAAGCTGCTGCAGTCGGCTGATATCTTGGGGCCTCAGGACATCGTTGCGGCTGCTGGTATTGAAGAGCGGAGGGGTCTTCATCATAGGACTGCTCGAAAGACCCGGTCGGCTCTGATCGCGCTGTTGCAGCGCCAACTCCAGTTCTGTGATGCGACGCTGCATAGCGGCCACGTCCACGTCGCTGTCTCCGGCAGGATGGCGGGAAGGCTGCAGTAAGCTCCGACGCCCTGCCACGAGACCAGTGACTGCTGGGGCTGCTCCAAACGCTGGCTCGTCCTCTGCGGCAGTGTGATACTCTTGAGCTGCGGCCTCGTCCATCTCGGAGGAGATCCAGGTATCTGCCATTTCCTCGGCAGAGCTTCGGTTTGGACGAGCCCATTTGCCATCTACATTGAGGCACAGTTGCGCAGCTTGTTTGAACTTTGACTGCTTCAGAGCGGATCCAGGGAAGAAGGCGCTGACGGCATCCCAAGGCAGATCTACCAGACAAACGTCGGCCACGCCAAGCGTCTGACCCCGAGCCGTCTCCACTTCCATGGAGCAGCTGTGAAAAGCCGCCCCATCGCCTTCGCCTTCGGCGCCCAGAGCAGTGAGATAGTCTGTGACCTCCGGCTCGTCGGGAACTATGAGCATGAAGCCACCTGATCGGACATAGATCAACGTGCAAACACAAATTCGACTCACTTCGTCTGATCCACTGGTTTCTAGCAGCGGCAACACCACCTGTGGTAAAGCTCTGCCAGTTGCACTCTTTGCGACCAGACTCTCTACATCCCCCTGAACGAGGGGGCTCACTGAGGCAGTCTTCGGGGCCATGGTCGGCGTGCACCAACCAAGAAGGCCTGGGCTTCCACCTGGCTAGGCAAAGCTTGACTGATGGAGTCAGGGTGCAATCGGCCGGATGGCCCCCCAACCCTCTCAATGTAGATGCCGTAATCAGTGGTCCAAAAGCCAGACTGGTGTCCAGCTTCCCTCAAGCAGATGTAGTAGCAGTTCCGAAAGGGAACTGACAGTGAGTCCTCCTCTTGGAAATTGCCGTCCAATCGACGGCGTGCAAGAACTCCTGCACGAAAAGCACGATGAATCCGTGCTAATGGTGACCACTCAGCGTGGCCGGCACGCAATCGCCCGACAAGGGCTGTCAAAAATGGCAAGGTCAGTTGAGACAATTGAGCCGGAGTGGTAGCTTGAATGCAATGATCCTCAACCTCAGATGTGATGTTGTAGGGATCGCTGAAGTCCTCAGGGGTGTCGCGAGGTACTGGAGTTCCACCAGCTGATATTCCAGTTCCTGCAGATGCAGAAGCACCAACAGGGAGGCGGCGGGCTGAGATTGTAATCTCAAGACCGCTCAGCAGGACTGTCACCTCTTCGACAGAATCCGGACCCTCGGAGCTCATCCACTAATCTCGATACTGGGCAAGTCGCTGTCTCAAATCCAAATGATGCAAATGAGGAGGGAAAAATTCAGCAACAATGGATCGAATCAAAATCAGCAGCGTTCGCCTGCAACCAGCAGAAAAGATGCAAGCCCCTGCAATGAGCCCACAAACAAATGAAAGGCAGCAGGCGAGGCACAGGATCAGGATGATGCCTCCCCACGGGCAACCAGAACTCGCGCCCCAAAAACGGATTTCCCGGACAATCTCCGGAAGCCACCACGCAAGGCTCATATGCTTGAACCCAGAAGCTCTAGACACCACATCACTCAATTCGACATGCTGGAGATAGCGACCATAATTGGACTGCTTACAAACATGCTCAATGGAATCATCCTGGGTGTCAAGGCATGTTGACAATTTTTTTTCTAAACCAGTGGACATACAAATGTCGGTAAATGTGAAAGTGTAGCCACCGGCCTTCACATTTGTCTTCTCCTGTGAGCCAAGCATCGCAGTGCCACATCTGGTTTACCGCTCCAGGATCGGATACCAAGAGTTGGCATTCAGACAGATACAGACCTTGCCGAGTGGATCCAAGTGGATCCAAGTGGATCACTAAAGTCACTAGTACCAAAAACAGCGAATGCAGGGAGACATCACGGTTGTATTTGGCATAATTTGGCCAAGTTTTCCTGTCTTCGTGTGTCCATCTTTATGCTCTTTTTGTTTGAAGTTTTGACTCTTGTTCAGCACATGTCTTTGTCATGGACGCGCACAGCATGGATCTTGAAGCTAATGCTGATTCCCAAACACGTTTGAAACACTTTCCATACATGCAAGACTGCAGGAAACAAAAAACATTCACCAGAAAAGAACGACAAAGTATGACAAAGTGAAAAAGACTAGAAAATTAAAAAAAAAAAAGGTTTTCTTTAGGATGCTGCAAACACTGAATGAGGTGAGCACGTGAGCACGAGTGACCGTTGCCATCGTTCAGGAAAGAGCCTCAATGTGCAGGTCAGGCGGCGTCAAAGTGGAAATTTGTCCACACTCACCACTAGTGATCTGACATCTAGTTTGTTTAGTGGGAAGAAAAGGTGATGCAATGCTCAAATCTGCTACAGTAAAACAACCTCTGCAATCACCCAATCGAATTTGTAAAAACTCTCTCGGCTTTTTTGGCAACGGATTATATGTGGAAAACGAACTAGCTGCCAAAATGGGCCTGGACTTGCATCCGGGCGATTTTCGCTGAAGTATCGATAGCACAGCGGCATGATTGGGGCCAGCAATGGCACAACCACTTGCCTCAGACGTTGGCGTTGCCGCACCAGGTGACATTGCTTGCCAGGTGACACCAGATGGCCATGAGAGCAGGACTCTGCGAAGTCTGTGCCTCGTAGCAGGAAATGCCGGCGACCCGCCGATGGTTCCAATGGTGCAGAACAGCCAAGTGCCAGGATTTCTCTGCTTGGCACCTCCGAGGGAGTCCACGTGAAGCTTCAAGAATCTCAACAGTCTCAGCTATTCCGACTATTCCAGGAAATCAAGGTCATAGAGACTCCTGAAAGACTTTGAAACTTTGGTCTATCGTCTACAGCTCATTGACAAGGCCTGTCTAGATGGTCTCTTTCAAATATGCTGTAGATGTTGTAGATTGTCCAATTTGTCCAATTTGTCCAATTTGTCCAATTTGTCCAATTTGTCCAATTTGTCCAATTTGTCCAATTTGTCCGTCTGCCACAAACGCGCTTCGCCGCTTCGCCTCCCGCACTGGCCGCCCAAGGCCTGGCAGCCGCAAGGCTTTCCTGACCTCCTCGTGCTGCGCCTCAGCGGACCTAGTCCATGTCAACGATGTCAACGATAAGACACAACAAATGTCTTCAACGACTCAAATCACTCAGATCTAAAGACTTCTAAGGACTCACATTCTCTGTGAGACTTCTTAAATAGGCCGACGAGGCAAAGATTCAAATACTCAAAGGACTCTGCTTTCAACGTGCGCTATTTACCCTGCAAGGGAACTTCCAAGTGCCAGGCAAGATCACCAGACCCTCATCCCGCAGCTGCTCAAGTGCTGCATTGATGTCGGATACTTCATGTCCACTCCTTAGCGCTGCAGAACTGATTATGGTTTCGCTATGTTTACTTGGGGGGTTCGAAATTCTTTGGCGAGTTTCAAACGTTGAATTTCCCAACAAAATGTGACTTTTGGATTTTCCTGATTGCGCAGTGCCACTTTTAACCACCCTCGAATTCCAAGCAACGCCAAGTATAGAGGTGCATCACCACCTACATCCACACCTTGCAAAGTAAATGTAAATCACACCCAAACCAAAAAGCCTTGAATAATCTCTCAAGGCATTCATGTTCACAAGAGCATTCGCAGATCGCAAAGAGTGTTGTTCCAATATCTGAGCTACCTGTTCACAGAATATCACCCAACACAGTGCCAATATGTACCAATGACACCAAGGCTTCAATGCATGAATGAAGCTCGAAATGTAAATGCATCGTACTACGTAAGGCGCTTGCCATACGTTCGGCGCGTCTCAGGCCTGGCTGAATCTCAGCACGAGACAATGGCCATGAAGACCCTAGAAGAACAGCCTCTCGGACGAGCTCTTCACCAAAGCTGCCTTGTTTTTTCACCTTTATTCTTCATCTTATTCTGGTTTCAAGAGCCGATAAGCTGAAGTTCAGGTCCATGGAATCTAGGGCTGAACAGGACACAACCCTTCCAGCAATGCCATCTTGCCTCGGCCTTGACGAGGCAACAGCATTTTGAACATCGTCGGCCTTTGCTCAAGCGAACAAAACTACACAAAGCACCTCGCAAAGATCGCAAATCTCACAGACCACCACGGAAAACAAAAGGTGCCGACCACGCATTCGTTGGCCGTTCTAAGGTTTAATGCATCAAGAAGGAGACAGCCAAGACCGGGTTCTGGCCTGCGGCAGCAAGTTCTGGCGTCTTGCACGTTGAGCCATCTGCTCAGCCAAAGACCTTGGACACACTTAGTGTTGCCAAATGACTCGATGATAAAGTATCACGAAAATGTGCATCAGTTTAAATGTAAAATTACATAAGCAACATCAACAACAACTGTGGGGGCCTCTTGTCGTTCTCCGGTGCTGCAGCGATGACCTCATACGGACTTGTGAAATCACGCAGATTTTCTCCTGGCAAAACCATATAGGTGTCTGAAAATATGGATTGTATAACCCCATGAAACAGCAATCTTAATCGGAAGAATGATGATAAACCAGTGCATGGACTGGAATGGGATTTTCCCCACCTTTTCAGGTACCAAACCATATTCCAACTGCTGTGCCTCAGCAATCAGCTCCAGCCCACACCAGTTGCTCCGCACAACCCGCTGCAGGTCATGAAGGGCCAGACCTGACCACATTAAATTGTGCCCTTAAACTATCTGAAAAATAGAACGTCTAATCCTACTACTAACACACTGACTAAGACTGTGTTTATTCTATTTTTTGAAATACGGTATATATTGTACTACAAACTTTGAACCACACTGCCACTTGCAAGGACGGTGAAACTAGTTTAAACATCCAACTCTTGCCTGCTGCGTTGGCAACCATTTGAAGAGCTTTGTTCTGGGCATCAAACACCTGCTCGAACCAGCTACAGAAGACAAACCACCATGTCAAGGACATACAAAACAAGCATTAAAATAATTCCCCTGATAGCGAAGCAATTGGGCTTCTTACTTCAAGTATAGGATGAGTTGCATATTTGCGTTTTGGGGCCGGTTTGCTTGTGCCGCTGCAGGGTGCCACTGCAGATCCCTCAGAGTGCTGCTGTCCAAGTGGTGTGTGTGTGTGTGCTTTCAGGGTGCTGCTGCTAGAGTGGTGCTTGTGCGCTTTGGAGCGGGCATGCTGGTGCCGCTGTAGGGTGCTGCTGCGGTGCCGTTCCAGGGCGCTGCTGTGGAACTTGGGTGCTGGTGCCCTCCAAGGGGGTCGCTGCGAGATGTCTATGGCAGTATGGGTGTTGGTGCCTGATGGAGATTACGTTTACAGTTTACACTGTATCAAAAAAGGAGCGTGTTTGGTTGCTGCCCAAAAATATTTTGTCATCCAATTTTGTTCACTGCGAATTAATCAGTTTGTTGCCTTGGTGTCAGCCGGTACCACAGTGAATGTCCGACGTTGCCGCCATGACTCTGGCAGTTCCGGTTGACAACAAACCTCCCGGTCAAAAAGATTCATTGCACCAGTGGAATCACAAAACAAGGCCATGGACCATGTCCACCCAAGAATAAGCATCTGGACAAAATGCACCCTGCCTTGACAACAACTGCTGCGCTAATACCAACAACACCCGCCTGACCCACTGTTTGTGCATTGTTGGATCAAAAATGCATACTGTAAATGATGCCACAACGACAGAGTTGGGTGATCCAAGGATATGGTATTGTTTTCAGCGAAAATCAATCCAAATTGAAATCAAATAAACAAAAATGCACGGGACGGATGCATCGAAAATCAACTGTGAGTTTGGGAAATGTTTGGATTTTTTTTGCCGCGTTTCTTCCCTCATTGCAAACAAGATCTGTGGGAAAAACTCTGCACTAATGACCTGAAGGAGTCTCCTCCACTCGACTCCATGGCGCAGAATTGAATTCATTTTTTGCAAAGTGCGACAAACTACATTTGTTTGCAAAATTTTGCAAATGTAATGTCAAATGACACAAAACCCTTCCCAAAGTGCAACGTGGTCACCATTGTCGCATTGTTTATGTTTGGCACATGGATCAACAACATAGAAAACATGTTTGTTGCTGATGCGGTTGTATTCGTCGCTTTGGTTCACATGGCACTGGGTTTCTGATTATTCCTCGGTTATTTTCTATCGCATCTACAGTACTTGTTCACTGCTGCATTTTTCGTATTGATGGTAAACGATTTCAAAAGTTGGAATGAATCAGCCTGACAGTGTTTGTTTCACAGAGTCTCATCGAACAACTGGATTTCTTTAATTTTGCCCATTCCAATCACAATTACCAAAAAACGGGGAAAACCTGAATTTTGGCAATTACAAATTGCCTAATTCAATGACGCATCGGGTTGAAATTTCCAAATCAGCTAAGCTGCAGACACACAACACGAATCGTTTGTTTTCAGGTTTTTTTTGTTGGTCAGCGCGGTTCCCAAGACAATGCGCAAACGGAACGATGATTGTTTTGTTTGACGCAAAAGCGTCTCGGAAATACACGTCTTGATTTGTGTGTGTTGCACTGCAAAGGAACTCAACAGGACTGCTACATGTTACATGTATGAAAAGGGATGCCAAATGCGTAAATGACAAGCACGCCGCCTCGATGCTGTCTTTTTGACTTGCATCGCAGCTACAAATGAAATTTTCTAAGCAACCAATCCACGTGTGGCGCTGGGGCAACGTTTTGTTGTGCCACTACTTCCATAGTTTCTTTGAAACTGAGTGGGTTGGCTGCTAACGCATGCATGTGCCAACTGAGATCCAAGTTATCCTCAGGCTTTAGCACTATTCAGAAGTCCTTCCAGCTCAAATGAGGGGCTGACTGCACTTGAACATTCCATAGAGCTTCAATCCTCCATTGATTCTGAATCTGATGCACCGTAGTCCAAAAAAAACCAAAACTCTGGGTCTGACACTTCATCTTGGCCAGACTGCCGATAACGGCGCTTGATCTCTGAGGCCGTCTCATCAACCTCGCTTGAACTTCCATCTGTAAGTGGATAAGCATCTCCTCTGCCCAAAGCGTTGGCAACCATATCAACGTTTGTTGACATCACCGCACCTGAGCTTGAACCTTGTTCCATGGCCCTGATGAAATTCAAGGCACGCTGAGCGTCACTGAGGCTGGCAGGGGCATGGATTGCTGCATATGATGGTGACTCCTCATCATCACTGATGTCATTCATTGTTGCAATGGTGCGCAATGCACCTCGACGCAAGGCCTCAACTGGAGACCTCATGGCCGAGTAAGGCCATGCAAAATGGTCACCCTCTCCTCGTAGAGCCTCCTGCGCTCATGCGTAGGCGCGTTGTCCCTACGCCTTGAGCACCTTTCCACACCAACCACCTCATGTAGTCTTCAGCATTGGCTTCTGGTCCTCTGGCTGAGGAAGATGGTGGTGGTGGCTCATTCAGGGTTGCAGCTTCATCCAAATCATCCAAAATGAGGGGATCATCCATTGTACCAGGCTCTGCATCGGGCTCCACGTCTTGCTGCTGATTGTTGCGCAAGCAAATCCAAAGAAAAATGAATAGCAAAGCAAGCACACATGTAAACGCAAGCAAACCAAGTTCTGGAGGTGTTGCCTCTCACATCCTCACTGTTGCAACCTTTCAATTGTACCAAGCTCAAGACGCTCAGAACCGACAGCAAGTTTTGTTTCTTGGAGTAAATGCGTCCTGGGTCATCTGATCCCTCAACCAAGCCAGTTGACATGTTGAACATCCCCAACATAGCCATCACTGACCGCAACCTGGAAGATGGCAAACGCTTTGCCCTATATCTGCAGGGTTTGTTGCACCTGCCAGCCACACACGCAAGTTTTATAACTCCATTGGCCACCAAACCTTGTAGCCACAAGATCCTGCAAGAAAGGTGTCTCACACGCCCTACTCCTTGGCGTTGGATGCCTCTGGCTGCAGAACTGTCACAACGAAGGTGTATGGTGCACTTGAAACATGTCATTCATTCAACAAGCCTGCACAACAAGATACCATCTGAAGTGCCACTGGAACATGCGTATACTTCTGCTTCAGCGCTTCAAAGAGAAACCAGCTTGTGTGTTCTTGAACAAGAGTACAAAAGACATCCTCCAAGGAAAATGGTGGCGCAGGAAACTGAGAGCCGGCTGGTCCTAGGCCCAGTCACTGTCCGTGAAGACCTCCATGATGCTTTCTCCAGGGTTTCAAGTGCTGTAACCATGGAAAAGACCATTAGTTCTGCCCTTCCATTTCAATGATATGCAGACGTCTTCATGTGAGGCCAAATAAGAAACCAAATGTTTCAGTTTCAGCACTGTCATACTCTTCACCGTAGGCTGCGTTGAATAGGTCGACAAATGCCTCACAATGTGCTAGCAATGCGGCAAGTCACAGGCTAAATACAAAAGTATCCCAACGCGTGTCCTGAAGGCTTTGGCAGCTGCTGAAGAGACCTCATTGGTTGTATCAACTTGATCCATGTCGGAGTGTCCCAGTGATTTCTTGTTTTAGAGTTTGCGGTTCAACCCAAGCAAGCTGCACATCTGATCAACGTGTTTGTGGTGCGTCTCGATGGTGATCCTATCATCATGCTGCAAAGTCATGCGCCTTTTCAAGAAGCAAACTTAATTGCCTGGTTTTTCCATGATTTGGGTGGCAACCTCAAAACTGTTGCCAACTTTTGCAAGACAAACTCACGACGTCCAACATCCAAAGGGTCGTCAACGTGAATGAGTGCCAAGCAACTGCAATCAGCTGTTTCAAAATGCAAGGATATTTATCCCAAGCTCCTCACAAAGCACCTTGGTGATGTCCTGGTGCCACAATAGGCCGCCGTCCCGTGGGCCTGGCAGAACACGTCCCAAGCCACACTGAACTTCACGGCCAGCGGCGCGGGTCACCAAATCTCCATCCTGTATGGATGGTTTCATTCAGCCCATAGCTTGTAGATCTATCTTTGTACCCCAAGCGCACTCAATAAGGCTGGAAACGCTAGGAAGATCTGCTTCACACCACTTCTTTTCTTGACTCTGTCTGTCTCGAAGCAGGATTCTCCCGCAAGTGATGGGCCATGGTGAGTCGTATCTCGGTGTGGTCCCCTCTGTGAGCTAGCCTCACCACACTTCGACCCGGAGGAGAGAGGAGCTGTGGTGCTGCACCGTGTCAGGAGATGCACGCAATCTGAGTTCTAAAAGTTTGGATAACCCATAAACTGAGAGCAGAGATTAACCAACTGATAAGAACGGGGAAAGGGAGGCGAATCTGACCAATCCAGGGACAGGAAACGCCAACCTACAAGCAAAAACTCACTTAACAAAAGAGAGAAAAACAATGCAAAAGACCAGGGCGAACCTGACCAATCCAGGACAGGTGCCAACTGGCAACACTAAGGTAAAATTGAGGCCTCAGCGATCAAGTGAGGAAGGCCAAAGAAATCACCGCGGGGGAGAGACAGACTTCGGACCAATTCAGGGACAGAGGAGCGCCACAAAGAGGGAAGGAAGTGAAACAAAGGGGGACAACCTCGCTGAACGTGCAGTGGAAAGCTAACAACTACATGTTAAGCACTTCTGACTGCGACGAGCCCGCCCTCAGACGCTGAGGCTGCTGTATCCAGCGGTCTTCTTGGTTCGCCCCTGCTGGCATGCGGACATCCTGCTTGGCGGACTTGTGTCATGCCTGGAGTATCCCTGGCCAGTAGTCGTCCTCGTGGTGCAGTTGGTATCGCGGCACTCTTGTGTCGCTGATAGACTGCCGGTGGTGGTTCGATTCCCCGCTGGTCCGCTTTTTTTTTTGGCCCGAGCCCGTTGCCTTTCGGCGGGTCTACGGTACTTGAGACTTAATTGTCTACCACGTCACGATCGCGGCCCCGTACCCGGGGGGAATCGATCCGCGGCTAGCTGTCTATGCACGGTCCTGAGACGGGCATTATACCACTACGCAACGAGATCGCCTCGATTCCCCGCTGGTCCGCGAGTAAGACTCAAGACCGTACTTTATTTTTTCGCCTGTTGCGGCCGATATCGCTCTGAGGCTCGGTCCTAACAGAGTAAGACTCAAGACCATAGACCCGCCGAAAGGCAACGGGCTCGGACAAAAAAAATGAAGTATCCTTGGCTTGTGGGACACTGTCACAGTCTTCGCATGCCCGATCAACTACCTAAAGAGAGAGTTCCACACCGGGCCGGCCGCAATTTCTCCGCAATCTCCTTGCGCAATATCGTCATCTTGATTGTCAGGCGCCACTACAAGGCAGCAATATCGGAAGTCACAGGGAGAAACCGTTCCGATGCAATTGCCAGGCAAGATTTGAACAGTACAACCTCCACTCTTCCAGGGGGTCAATGTTGCACTCTCTAAGTTTCTGTTGCACAAACTACAGCAATCACTCAGAAGGGATCCAATTGATCGTAGATGGTAGAAGGATTCAGGGCAAGCGGGAAGGCAGAGAGACAGGCTTCGAGGCAGGCCTCAAGGGCCTCAAGGCTCTGGAAATTGGAGCAAACCAATATGATAAAGAAGGGGCCCTTTCTTGGTCCTCAAAACGTAAGAAAAAGCAGGCGCGCAAAAATGGGCCTCCCCAGTTCAAGATTCCAGCCGTAGCTGTTGCTGATCAAATCAGCTTCAGCTTGAAATAAACGCTTCAACAAATTTGCCACAATGAAGGGGCCAAGAAGGGACCAAAACTGGACCCTCCAGGGGGGGACCACTTTTGATTTCAAAGGGGTCCACTTTCTGACCCCTTTTTGAAACACGTTTCCTTTGCACGGGGGTCCAAAACTAGACCCTCAATAGGCTGAATCCGGTGCCTCCTGGGAGGTCCGGTTTTAAGCCCATCCAAGCACCTTCTTCAGCTGCGCTGTTCCAATGTGGACCCGCATCAACGTCACATAAACCAATACCGAGTTGGCAATACCCCAACTCCGTCT